CATCCCTGATTCGGGCAACTCGCCTGGTGTCTGTTGTGGGATGGGCTGGTGGGGATACTTTTCCGTCGCGGCCGCAAGCGGAAGCGCAGGCGGCGTCCGAAGTCAGCCCGGGCTACAAAACCTAATTACCTAAGCGCGCGAACTAACACTGGTGGGGATGCGCGAACCGTCAAGAATTGCTTCCAATGCGACACAAGATTACGGATACGTCCTCAACGCCACTACCGCATTAGCACCCTGCACACCGACAATGTGCCCGGTGAGGCGTGTCGCATGCTGGTTGGAGTCGAATGCTCCTAGGGAGGTGTGCGATTCCTGCGGATCCAGTTTTCGGGCGACAGATCGGAAGGGCGATTCCGATGAGTGGAAGAATGTGTGGGGATATGAGTGCACACGAAAGGAATGCAGAACGACTGGCGCCGAGGCGGTGCCTCCACCTACGCCCGAATTCGTGGAGCTCCGCGGAGTGCTAAGCAGCACGCGGCTCCCTATGGTGATGCCAGTCCTATTCGTGACTGCCAGCTGAAGCGACCACATCCAAGGGAGCTTGAGGCGGCCATTGCGCGATTGGGCATGGGAAAATACGGACAAGGTAAGATAAGGAAGGGCTTTCAAGACCCAAGCCTGTGATGGGATGGAGGTGGGAAATCCAGGGCCATGAATACCAGGCAGCGCAGACTCCAAACAGATCAGGAGACTGAACTGAAGTGGACTGAGATGGGCTGGAGTGGGCTGAAATAGACTGGACTGGAGTATACTAGAGTAGACTTGGGTGGACTCTTCTCCACTCTACTCTGCTCTATTGTTTATACCCAACTATACTCGACCATGGGCCCTACTAGAATCTGCTCTATTCTAACCTATTCTACCCGATCCTCTCATACCCTACTCTACTCTGATCTGCTCTGCTCTGCTCTAGTCTAGTCCTACTCTACCCTACTCTTACGCTAATCTACACCACACTCATACCCTTTGCTGTATCATATTCTGCTCTGCGCTACTCCGTCCGACCCGATTCTACTCTACCATCTACCCTACTCTACTATCCTCTCCTCTACTCGCTACTCTTTACTCTACTCTACTCTACTCTGTTCTGCTCTGCTCTTTTCTGCTCTACATTTATTACGCTCACACTGCTACTCTACTCTACTTCTACTCTCCTCTGCTCTCCTCTACTCTGATCCACTCTGCTCTACTCTACTCCATTCCTACTCTCCTCTATTTCTACTCTCCTCTACTCTCTTCTCCGCTGCTCTACTCTGCTCTTCCCTACTCCTGTTATATTCTACTCCACTGCTCTGTCCTGCTCTCCTCCAGTCGGGCGGCTGCCACAGGGAACGATTCAGGAATGAAGCCCCCTTTTGGTCACCAAAAGAGCCTGGGTGCACGAAGAAGGCTGGAGGAACAACCACGAACCCAAACCGGTCCTCATGTCGAAGCCTTGGCTGGACTCTGTTCTACTGTGCTACATTCTTCTCTACTCATCGAAACTTCTTTGCTTCACTCGTATTCGACTTCTGAATTTGATGATTGTTGGTCGATTGCTGGGACGCTATTGGAATAGCCGGTGGGACGGGAAACCATTGCAATAGCAGGTGAAGTCATCGCAGTAGCAGAGGAAGCCATCGCGATCGCAGGGATTTCCATTGCAATAGCAAAGAGTCCATTGCAATAGCTTGGGGCAGAGGTGGGGGGAACCAGTGGACCAGTTCTCTATGCATGGAGCTGGAACTCCTATAGACAAGCCTATTTGGAGGACATGTGGAGCCACCTGGGATCGTGCTACATTTTTTTTTTTGGGGGGGGGCGGGGGCTGCGTGCTGGACTCAGAGTGGGAGGCAGGAATGCGGGTAAGAGAGATTGCACAAGTTTTGAACGAGAGAAGCAAGAGAGAGGGACATATGTTATTATTATTAGTATTAGTATTATTATCATCATCTATTGATCTGTCTATATATATATATAGAGATAGAGATAGAGAGAGAGAAAAGCAAAGACAGCGAGAGAGAGAGAGAGAGAGGCCGCCAACAAGAAACTTGCCGACCAAGACACTCGTGAACAGGTAACTGGACTACTTGAACCGTGGACACGCGCGTTCTCCTCCTCCTCTTCTTCCTATTCTGGGAAAACAGATGTAAGGCTGCCGCAAATTTTGCCACCACCACCTACTGTGCGGCCCGGCCCCGCCCTCCTCATTCTCCGCCTCGTGTTTGCCAATCAGAGTGCTCACTCACCTGTCCTGCAATCCTGCGACCTCTGATATCAGGTGTCTGCACCATTCGTCTGTCCCGTGACATCGGGCTCTTTCACGGCCTGCATCCCCTCGAGGTCCGACCCCATCCTGGGGCTGCTTGCCCCTTGCATCCAAACTGGGGCTCTTTACTTTGTGTATGGCTCCCGCACGGGCAAGACCACTCGCACACACCCTGTTCGTCCACGTTATCACCACCCTCCTAGTCCACATCCCCCTCACCGTCACCTTAATCGTCTTCATAACTCTCGTCTGTGTCCGCACCATTCCGTATCTTCGCTCTCATCCTCATCCGTCCGCAGGTAATGCAATCTCACTTTCATCACTCCAACCAGAATCGTTGCATTTCTGCCTTCATGCTCACTGCCTTCACCCTTCCCTGTCCTCTCTCTCATCCTCAACTTCGCTCTCACCATCTTCGCTCTTTACCGTCCTTTACCCTTATCGTTCTCGTCGCCACGCGCAGGCGATAAGGAGTGGTGTGATGTGTCCTCCCTAAGGGTTCCCACCGACAAATTATAGTCCGCACGGCTATTCGCATACTGTGCAAACTCGCGCAAATGGGCTACGATCAAAAACGGGTCTTACGCGAGACGCCATGGTGACCGTCGGCGAAGACGACCCTGTTTTTCTGCGTCGCTCAGGTGGAGTGGCCCTCCCGCTCTCCGTCGACCTCCGGCGCACCCCCGAAGGTTCCCGAGGGTACTGCCCGAATCGCACGCCCCGTGAAAGAAACAACTCTGGCGGAGTGATCGCTCCGCTCTCCGTGGGCTCTTGGCAAATTCCTGCAGGCACCTGAGGGTTCCTTCCGGAGGACTTTTTTGCCGTCGAAGCGCGACGCGACATGGACTAACGCAAGCATGAACATCCCAAATGCTGACTCAAGGCCGGCTTTTCCAGCACAAGCGGAACCAACACGCCGAGCAAGTTTCCGCCACTGCTTAGGAGAGCGCTCTCCCAGGGGGTCCTTCCGAAGGCTTGGAAACCGAACAACGGTTCGAAAACACAGTACATGCGCAGATGGAGTGAGTGGCCCTCCCGGTCCCCGTGCACTATGTCCTCCGATGGCTTCCCATGGACTCCTATGGCTTGGCTTCCTGTGTCAGCTTGGCTTCACTGCATGCCCATGGCTTCGCACAAGTTGCTCCAATAATGAGCTGCTTATGGCCAACGCGCTGGCATCATTTTTGGAGATTTTGGATATTGCTTGGCCTCCAAACTTCTCTGATCCAAATGGTTCTCAATTATATTTTTTTTTTATATTTTCAACGACGATTAACCCAATTTATCCGGCGGGGGGAGGGGGGCGGGGGCCGGCCGATAACTGTTTCCTTCGCTTTGGCAAACTTTGGGCAACCCAACGTGCACCCGCGCGAATCAGTACTGCCCCGCCCCTTCGGACCTGTGCAACCGACAAGGTCAGTTTATCCAAGGAAGGGGGGGAGGGGGAGGGGGTAACCCATGTGGGGGGTATCAAAACTGAAGGCTCTTCGAGGTTATCGCTGGACACTCGAAAACACTCTCCAAGCGGGCCTCGGAGAACCCAAAAGGACGCCCCACATCACCACACGAAGACCTCAAGATGGCCCGAGTGCGGTCCAAGTCCTGCCAAGAAGCCCGGCCGGGCAGGCGCAGGGCGGCCCAGAAGTGCACCACCAGGGCAAGCAGAGGGCCCCGAGGTGCCCGCAACTCTGTCCAACATCGGCGGGGACAAAAGGGTAGGATAGTAAAGGGTAGAGAATCAGCTCATGTAGCTGGTTCTCCTGGCGCCTCTTGGCGCCAGGAGGCGCCCATGTATCGAGGAATAGGCCCGGCGGCGGGGCGGAAAGCAGGCATGCAGCAGATTTCGCCCCCCCCCCTTCTCCTGTCCTACCCTTTCGTCCAGCCCGACAAAAGAGAGCCCCATAAATGCCCCACGGCGGCCAGTCGGGATGTCGCCAAGAAGACCAACGATGCCCCAGGACGAGCTCACGAGGCCCCAATCTTCGCAGGTATGGTTTTTGAGACATCCCCGACACCAAAATCATGGTGAGAGTGAGAACATGTTTCATCATCATGCGGCATTATGAAGTCATTATGGTGGCGTCGAAAGAGCTCTACGAAGTTCCGGACGGGAGCCAAATTGACGGTTTACCGCCGACTGCCAATCTTTAAAGACATCCCCCGGCAGGCCCCCCGCTTTTCGGCGACAGGGGCGACGGTCACTCGCCGGAAGAGTGTTTGATTCGGCAGTGTGCTAAACGTATCCTTGGGACAAATTGACCAGTTCCGCCTGCCAAGCGGACCAGCATATCCAGAACGAAGATGCATAGGCTGTGTCTGGCTCTCATGAGCCTCATGCTTTGATCCAGTTTGGCCCACGAGTTCCGATGTATCCGACGTGGCCTTATCTCGTACACAAGGAGCAACTTCGGGCTCGCCGCAATACACATCACAGGTCACTCATGCGGTATATGCAATACTCGTCATGATACACGGTATAGAACATGACCATCTGGCACGTAAGCTGAAGCATTACATGCATGTAGATCTACATATACTTGTACACATGTGTATGCATGCCTGTATACATACACATGTGTATGTATGTGAGCGGTGCAACCCTTGACATATAATGTAGCATTCATGGAACACTGCAATTTAGCATTGCAAGGCATTAGCGCTCAGACAATGCTGATGTGTGCTGTAGTTGTGCGCAATACAAACGCATAATCGATATCATCGGTATGGCCGGTTGCAATGACATTGCCCCTGCTTTGACCAGAAAACGCGGGAGTGACTCGCGCAAGAGGCATGACCAAAGTGTGCTGATGGTTGAAGCTGGCAGACATGTGTCCACCAAATATGGGTTTCATTCGGATGCCAGAAGAGAGCAGCGGAAGAGCGTTATAATGCAACATGCGTGCAAGCTGGGTGCATCACAACGTCGCTTAGCTGGGTCCGTCGTCGAAGTAGCAGCAGCTAAGCTACCTCCCCTGTGAATGGCGACTCGGCGAGCCCTTCTCCCACCTTGACCGCCAGTGCAGATCTGCCTACTGTCGCTCCGCAGTCGCCTATAGCCCGAACACTGGGGGCCTTGACATGAGATCTGCTCGCACATATCTGAAACAATTTTCTCTCGGTGCCAGAAAATGGTGGGTCTAGGACCACACGCACGACTTGGTATCCAAGTACACGCGGAGGTGATGATGCTGATGATGATGCTGCTGATGATGCTGCTGATGCTGCTGATGATGCTGCTGATGCTGATGCTGATGCTGATGATGAGGATCAGGATGATGATGATGCTGCTGATGCTGATGATTCTGAGGAAAAGGAATAGGAGGAGGACGAGGAGGATAATGAAGAGGAGGGGGAGGAGGACAAGTAGGAGGAGCATCCAATCTAAGACAGCGCCACAAAAGAAGCTGGAAGGCGAACGCGAACTTATGCCATCGACATTTTCGCCTGCTTCTTCTTTATCTTCTGGCGGGAAACAGTCATTCTCTGCCCATGCGGTGTGTCCTTGTTAGAACTACGTCGGGGGACGGATGTTCAACTGTGGACCCCTCGGAAGCCTGAGAGCGTGGCCTCCAGTCGGGACACGGGAACGGCCTTGTCCAAGTGCTCGAGTCCCCCTCCCCCCGTGTCAGCGGGGGGGAAGGAGCAGGGCTTTTTCGCGAGCTGAACAAAATGGCTACAGGATTCAGGGCCCCCCCTCATATAATCATACCTCTAAGTGCAACGCATACTTAACACCTTTCCTTGGGCGCAGAACTGGTCGGACAAGCCTTGCGCGGCCGCCGCGCTCGCTCCTTCAGAGCCACTTCATGCGGGTCGAACCGCAATCAAAACACGTCCCTCGGGTACACGAAGTGACCGATGTCGTCGGCGCCGTCAAGGTACACGAGGCCGCCGGTGTCCTCGACACCGAACCGTGTCTGTCTCGGCTGCCCTACCTGCTGTGCTGCTTCCTGTGACCACCAATCATGCCCCCATCGTGGATCAAGTAGGACCCGTCATGGTCGGTGTCGGCCCTCCTTTCTCTGCCGCTTTGATATACTTCCGCGCGGCCTCCTATCTCCCCAGGTCGCTCAAGCTCATTGCTGGCATCGGCCCGCGCGTCGTGGCTTCCACACGTAGCTTCTCTATGTCCTTGGTCTGCTTCTCGCGGAGGATCTCCCCCAAATCGATCAGCCTGGACACCAAGTCGAGCTTGACCCAATCGCTCTTAGGCAGTCGGCTCGGTGGATAGCTTGCATGTCCACCACGCGAAGCGTCATCATTAACTCGCGCGTCGCCCTTGTGCCGGAGTCGTGCACATCAGTCTGCCGTGCACTGGTACTTCACCTCCTACCGTTGCCTCAAGCGCGTCCTTCGGAACGGGTCTTGCCACCTCCTGGTCCGAGCACTTATCAAATAACTCCTTCCCGTGGCATCCGCAGAAACACCCCGGCAGAGACATACTGGCTGAGAGGACCGCCGCTGCGACCTTCAACAGCTACATGGACTCCTCGTTACCGTAGTAAGCCAGTGCGGGGCACACCACTCGTGTCGTTCTAGGCCTGCGCGCTCGGTGCCCTAGCAGTCGGTGTCGTAGATCGCAACAATGCAACTGCGCTCAGGCTCTGGGATATCAGGTTGAGGGTGCTCTAGTGCTTGGAGATCATCGACCACTCACTGTACTCTGCCAAGATGTCCGCTGTCATCTCATCCGTGTGCTCCGTCAGCAGCTGAAGCGCTTGAAGTCGCAATCATTCTTGCAACCACGGGAATTTCTACTCGAGGTGCCTCACCCTGCCCACGCCAAGTCTCTTGCACATGCCTCTGCCAGCGGTGCTGTGGACAAGCGCGTGCAGCAGCAGAGGGATGCACTGGGCAACCATGTGCAGCCACAAAAAGATGCACTGAACGACCAGCGTCTGACTTGGCAGGGAAGGGCGTCGTTTTCCCGACTTGCCGATGTCTTTGTAAGTCTTTGTCGCGGCCTCGGGTGGCGGAAGCATACTCGGGAGATCCGTGCAGGTTCCGATCTGAAACGGTAGAAGCTGCGAAGAGGATGCGAGCAAAGTGCGACCGTGATCTGCGATGTGTAAGGAGGCAAACTTTTCGCCCCCACGTGCCCCCCCCGGGCTTGCCGCTCTGGCCCGACCTCTGCATCGCGAAGAACAAGCGAGACATGTGCGACCATTTTCAGTGATATCTTAGGAGGCGAGCTTCTCGTTGCCATGTGCCCCCCCCCACTGTCTGCCGACGATGAACGATGAGAGAGCATGAGGACTCGAGGGGCGCCCGTCCTGCTTCGATCCTGGCCATTTTATCTGCGAGACAGGCCGCGCGGATGCAGCTGCGATGTGTTCTCCAGCGGACCCGCGCGCTCGGGGGTGGCAGTGGCAGTGTCGGGGGCGGGCGGAGCGGCGTCTGTCATCGCCAGCTCGTCATCTTCGTCCTCGGAGCCCACCTCGGGAACCAGCCGTGGGGTGACGCCGGGGATGCTGGCGACCATGGGCGCAAGGCGGGTGGGGTGCGCGGCGCCGAGCAGGGGCTCGACGAACCTTCGCCGTCTGAGCGCGGGCCACGTGCCGCACACAGACACACGCACACACACGCACACGCGCGCAGATGCGCGCATGCACACACGCACAGACACGCACACACACACACACCGAGCACACACACACACACACACACACACACACGCGCACGCACACACGCATCCACGCGCGCACACGCACGCAGACGCACGCACGCACGCACGCACGCACGCACGCACGCACCCGCAGACACACACGCACACACACAAACGCACGCACACACACATACTCTCTCTCTCTCTGTCTCACAGACGCACGCACGCAAGCGCGCACGCGCGCGCGCGCAAACACGCGCGCACGTACGCGCGCGAGCAAGCGTGCCTGTCAACCGCCGGGCCAAACCGCATTTCGGTATAAAGAAGCTCGGGCGCCGCGTCAAACAAGGCCCTGTGGTGGGCACTCTGCGAGGCCTCGCGCGTGCACTCCGAGCAAGCGCGCCCAAGGGCGGACCGGGGGCCGGAGCCCACCTGCACCTGGGCCCTGTCAGAGCCGCTCCCGCCAGTCGCCGACGCTGCTGAGGAGGCTTGTGTCCCTGCGCGCGCTGGATGCCGCCTGCCGCCTCTTCTCGACCTCCATCCACAACTGGTTCGCGATGCACAAAGACTGGCGAGCGCCAGGAGCGGGGCGGTGGCTTGGTCTGGGTGCGGGTGGCGCTGGTCTCCGAGTCACCACTGTTTTGGATCTGCCCTCCTGCGTCGGCGGCAGGCGCGAGCGCTGACGGCGTCGGAAGGCCGCGCGTGCGGGACATGTCGTGACATTGCGTGCACTCGTAAGACGTGATCTGCTTGGACGTGTCCGGACACGCCGTGCTGTGCATGATGCGCCCCCCCTGCCCCAGAACGCCGCGTTGCAATTGGTGCGTGCGTTGCTCGGCGTGCGAATGCTGAGCGCGCTTTGCCCCCCGCGCCCTGGCTGCCGCGGCTGACGCGCGCGCGCGACCAGTGCCGCGCGCGCGAAACCTGCGCCCGCAGACCGGCCCATGGGTTTCCGAGCGAATAATGCAAGTAAGTGCGTCGGCATTTGTTTTTCCCCGTTCCGATCCTTCGCGCTGGGGGGCTGGCGCCGTCTCTGCCGGGCATTGTGGCGAGGCCTGCTGCGCCGCCGAAAAAGCACTGCGCAGGCACCGCGGATCGAAGTGGGCGAACGGGCAGTTGACCTCCTCGTCCCGCAAAAGGTCTATCATCGCTCCACTCCTCCACGCCTCGACGACAGACTCCGCCTCGGGGCAGCTGCGCGTGGCCTCCGAGTCTCGTCGCAGCAGTCGTGCTCAGGGGTGGGCGACCGCATCGTCATTCAGCATCGTCGGCGGGCAGCGATATTCGCATGTTGCCCCCCGCAGCTTATCGCCATGACAACAAACCAAATGGGCGCCGCTGCGAGGTGCCCGCGCAACGGCCTGCCAGGAGCGCAACCTCTGTACTGTAGCCTCGATCGCAAAGGGGGCTGGGCTCCAGCGCCTGCGCGCCTCTCGCTCAGTGAACGCCTCGACGTGGGCCCCGCTCTAGGATGCCGCGCCCCCCATCGTGGAGCGTGGCTCGCGAGCGAAGGGCCCGCGCAGCTGCAGAGCGCTGCTGTGCCCGGCGAAGCCGCGCCGCTGACCGGCGAGATGAACGCCGGCCTTTCGACGCGAAGCGGCGCCGTCATCCATCCCCTGCTGATGTCTCCTCTCGCTCTGGCCTGGAGCTCGTTCGCGCCGCTGTTCGCTCCGTCGAGCCAGGGCCCGAAGCGCGTTCCGTTCGAAGCCGCTTCTGCGCCCGCTGCCAAGGGCCCCCTGGATGGTCTTGCGCGCCGGCTGTCGTGGCGAACGCGCTAGGGCCACGTCTTGCTTCGACTTGTTCGGGCCATGTCCTCTCGCCGCCCATGCCTGGTCCAGGCCGGTGTCGCTGCGCCTCGACACCGGCGGGGTCTCTGGCGGGGCCTTGACATTGTCGAGCAGCCGAGTCTTGGAGGCGTCGTCCATGAAGCAGCCGGACACGTCGATCGCTCGGCCCCCGGGAGCTGGTCCGTGCGAATATGCGTGGCACCTGGGCCGGCATGTTGCGCCACTGTAGCCCGCTTCTGGACTGCGATGTGATAATTGTGCGTGAATATTTCAGGTTCCGACGCGTCGCCCACGAATCCTTCCGGCCCGCTTCGAACTGCAATCTCGCCCTCGGCTGCGGGCGCGGCGACGCTTGGGGCGAGCCGTCGCTGCAAGGAGATGTCTGCCACAAAAGACACGTCTGCGTCCTCCGCCCCCTCGTCAGCTTCCAATCCTTCGCGCGCGCCCTCCGCCGTGTCCGACTTGCGCCCGCGGCCAGACTCGTCGGCGGCGTCGCGCGACATGCGGGGCGCTGTCTTCCCTGGGCGGCTGCCCCTCCGGGCGGCGATGCGGGCGGCCATCGCGAGGCGTTCGCGTCGCCGCCATCGCGCCGCGGTGGCCCGCGGCGGTGGGCGGAAAATGCCTCCTCGCAGCATGCCTCCACTAATCGCCGCGCGCTGGCGCGGGCGCGTCGGGCGCGCGGGCCCCCTGCCCGCCGCCCCCTCTCTGCTGTTCCTTCTGTCAAACGCGAGGCGGCCAGGGAGGGGGGGGGGGGGGGGCGGGCGGGCGGGCGGCGCGCGCGGCGAGGGTGCAAGGCCAAGCACAAGATCCGATGTCGCGCGCTGCCTCGCGCCGCTCAGGGCGTCGAAGTTGCAGCCGAGCGCCGGGGTCTTGATGGCGAAATCTTGATGGCGAAATTCATTTTCGAGTGCTACCTCTGGTCTAACTCCGACTCCCCGCGGCTTTTCTTCCCGCGGCCCGCGGCTGGGGGCTACTCGACCAGGTTGGGTCCGCCGCCGCCGTCAGGATCTCCGACGGCACCGGCTGGGAAGGAGCGAGCTTGCCGATCTTGGTGCGCCTCGGGGCCTTTATGGTCATCTTGAACTTCTCCGCGCCCCTCTTCGCGACGTCCTCGCTGTTCTACTAGCTGTCGGGGGTCGCGTGCTCGCCGGTGCCCCGCGGGTCGTTCACGCGCCCCTCGGACTGGTTGCAGTGGAAAGGGGGGGCGGCACCGCGGTGCCAGCAGCGGCCTCCCTCGCGAGAGTCTCCTCCAAGAAATGCACCCCATTCCCGCGTGGTCAGGTTGCAGGCTGCAAGCGCTTTATAGCTGCGGTTCTTTACGCCAGTGCGAGTCCGCGCGGGCGGTCTTGCCGGGCGGGGGGCCATTGTGCCGTGAACGCCTGGCGCTCACGATGTCTTCGTCGTCTCCAACTCGTAAGTGCGCGTGCGTCGTTCCGAACTGCATCGCGCAGCTTTTTTGCGTTCGACTGCAGTTCATCTGCTGCTGCTTCCTCCTCCGACGCTGGGGCCTGGGAGAGAAGAGGCTTGCGTTCTTTTAACGGCTGCAACTTGCTTTCGCCCAGCTTATTCTCGAATTCTGGCTTCGCGGTTGCTTGGGGAAAACGCGAGAAAACGGGTTTGCGAATCATAGTCATGATCGAAGTTGCTCGCCCTGTGGTGGCTTCTCAGTTTTCTAAGGTGTCCAATGACGGCTTGGTTTCCGCAAAGGCGTCCTGCAAGTTGACTAGGAACTCCTCCCTTCCCGTGCCGTCAAGCACCGCCCCAAGACTACCTCGGGCGGCCCAGCGCTCTTTCAACGGTAGTTGGTTGGCTGGGGCCACGACTTGCAACTTCGTCGCCAGCGAAGCATGGCGTGCCGTCTCGGCCGTCCTGCGCCAAGCTTTCACCCACATCACAAGCAAACCTGCGTGCGCATGTAGTCGATCTGCGGCCACGAGCCTCACATGGCGAAACAAGTGTCCCGCCTGTGTTGTCGTGTTGGTCGCCAACATGTCTGCGCTATGCAACCGCTCATCTAGATCCATGGGCAGCACTGGTGTGAATCTCTGCGGGGCGTGCACGGGCTGATCCCTTGCTCACGTAATCAAGCCTTGCTTGTATCACGCCGTATTGCTGCATCGCCCTTGGTCAATGGCCTCAGAGGAACGTACATCGTACATGTTGCGATCACCGGCGGGCCCGATGCGATGCGCGCGATGCCTCCACAGCCCCGCAACCCCACGGGGGAATTGGTCAATTTCCAAATCACGTTCGGGCCAACATCGCTTCGAGAAGAACAGCGAACACCCACAACTCTTGTCGACCAGTCTGGCCCTCTCTCAACCGAAATGGAACACGTGGTGGTACGGTGTACTCGATGATGAAGATATTGCCACCATTGTCGTACACAGGTGTCTGGGAAACCCAGGAGACCTATTCCTCGTAATGCACCAAACACGTGGTCCAGTCTAGCAGCACTGCAAATACGTGCTCTGTGGACTCCAGACACTGGTGAAGGTGCATGCCGCCTCGCACGCCTGAGCACCCCCCTTCCGCCCAACAACAGCAACGCCTGCAGCAGGAGCACAGAGCGCGCTCGCCTGCCCCCGACGGACGCGGGGGGGCACACTTGCGGCCATCACCGCTCCGCGGGCGTGGCTGGCCCAATCACGGCCCGAGCTCATGCGGATGAAGGTTCCGAGAAAAAGGGGGGGCCAGCGCGGGTGCGGAACTTGAGGAGGACGAAGAGGAGGAAGAGGAGGAGGAGAAGGAGGAGGAGGAAGAAGAAGAAGAGTCGGAGTCGGAGTCGGAGTCGGAGTCGGAGGAGGAGGGGGAGGAGGAGGAAGAGGAGGAGGAGGAGGAAGAGGAGGAGGAGGAGGCGGACGAAGGCCATGGGAAATACGGAGATGAAGAGGGGAGGACAATCCAAAGGAGCACAAGGATGAGTATGCGGACCGTGAGGCTGAGGAGGTTGAGGGACTCTCAGTGTGGATTCCTCATATTATTCTCCCTTCCTGCCCTCCCTGTCCTTGCTTTCGCTCGTCCTCTCATACGCGTCCTTTTGCTCGCCCTTCTGCTTCTCCTCATCTGCCATGGGTCCTCTCCCAGGCTCGTATTTCATTGTGTGCGGGGTCCGTGGAACCCTTACGGGGGTGGATGCCCTCCCCCGACCTTGCCCGCGCAGCCGTCGAGCGCGGTGGCCGCGTCCGCCTGTTGTCGCGAGACCTGCCGGGAGAGGACGCGAAGGAGCAGGAGGGAAGGAGCAAGAGGGCACAGAGGAGCGGAAACATGAGGAGCATGTGAAAGGAGGGCGAGGATAAGGCGGAGCAGGGGGGAGGAGCATGAGGATGAGGATGAGGATGAGGAGGAGGAGGAGTAGGAGGAGGACGTGTGACATTGGTTGGCTCCCTTTCCCTCTCTCCCTCTCTCTCCAATATCGGTCCGATCGAGAACGCTGGGCGCTCATACCTTAACCAAGACACGCAACCTTTCGCGCCCTCCAGCCAGGTGATATGGTAACCGTATCAAAGACAAGGAACCGATGCGTGTCACATATCCCTCTTTCCGCCCACGCGCCATGGCTCCGCCGAGTCGGTTGGCAGTCTCTCCCCACCGAGCTCATTGTCTTAACGCGTGGCATCTTTGATCACCTTGAACTGTTCTGGCCCCCGCCGTGCTCGAGTGGGCATCAGGAGGTTCAATCGTCGGGGCATCTAAAAGGGGAGTCTGGGTACTAGCAAGGGAACTTGTTTGTCGATGGGTTGTTCTTCAAGCGCGCGGTTTTGGACCTCGGGAGGTCTGGCTGGAATGTGTGTGCCAGGATGCTGAGGTGCAAACTGCTCTGCGCTGTTGTCGGTCCAATGCGCCACCTTGCTGAGTGCTCAGCCTTTGGCACGTGTGCTTTGCAAGCGGTAGGTGATAGCCATGTGTGCTCAGACTGTCCTGCCGTGTTCAGCCACCACAGCCTGCCTCCGTCGCAGCGTCTCTCGTACAAGCGTAAGTATGCAGGGATTCTTATGTACGTGAACGCTGCTTGTCATGTGTGCTTTGCAGGCGGTAGACGGTAGCCATGTGTGCTCAGATTGTCCTGCCGTGGTCAGCTGCCACAGTGTGCCTCCGTCGCAGCGTCTCTCGTACAAGCGTAAGGGTGCAAGTGTTTGTTGATGTATGTAAACTCTGTGGGCCACCGGAAGTCGCTCACCAATGGTGCGTGCGCACCTCTCGGTGGAGGAACCTGGCTTATCTGCTGGGCAAAGGTTCCAGCGCAGAGGTAACAGCCATGCTGATCAAGCAGCCACGGCTGCGGCTTTACTCCACCCCCGTGGCTCGAAGGAAGACCACGGCGTGGTGGATATGCTGGTTCGTAACTCGGAGGCAGTACGCAAGTTAACGGCGGAACTTTTGCCGAAGTGGCCGCGTCTCGATTTGTCAGGTGTCGACGCCGTGGCCCTTCCGCCTGCCCCGAGAGATACCTCTTCGATTTTGTAGCAGTGGTGGCAATGTTTCGGTAATGTTTGGCGTTGCACTGTTTGTCGCCTTGGGTCCAAGTCCGCCGTGAAACCTGGTCCTGCCAGATGCTCAGGACTATGTGAGTTCGACATGGACTCGGCCGAACAGAACGGGCACACGCCTGTCCTCGCTCATGTTTCCAAAAGGCCCGACTGTTTTCAGTGCTCACGTTGTAGTGCCTGCCTGAATGAGGATGTGCTGGTGAAGAGCATTTTTGCTCACGCGTGTCGAGTTGCTCCCAGCCGATACGGTCTGACAAATCTCAAGAAGATCACTGCGGTCAACATCAGAGGGACAAGGCCTTGACCATCGATGAATATCTAGTTGTGTCGTCTCTCGCTCGAGGCCTAAATCCTGGTGCTAGCTTGGAGGCAGTTGCTTGTCCTCCCGATCCAGATCCTGTGCTCACTCTGCGCAGAGTGTCGACGGCGTTGCGGCGGAACGCCGCGGCGTCGAGTGTGCCGCCCCCCCGCCTCGCTTGGAGATGCTGGCGGCTCGGAGTCTGATTCTGATCAACTAGCTTTTCCTGGGACCGATCAACTTCAACTACCCAAGGACAGATACCCGCATGCCTGTCCCCCGATGGACGGCAAAAACGACCAAACCCACGCTGGTCACACAAACGGGACCATCCGCCAACTGGGAAGCAACGAGATCACCTGCTTCCAAACCGTGCAGGTCATCCTCGACCCAGCCGACGTCGTCACCTGGATCCGCGGCGCCATTTGCGAGACCGATGCCATTGAAGCCAACTCTTAGGTGTCGCCCCCATCAACGGAAACCGCATGCCAGGCGATGCAGGCACGGCTCAGCAGAAGGCCAAAGAGCGCCACAAGTTAGTTGAGCGCGACAGCGCGAAGCAACGCCTGGATGGCGACCTCACAGACGCCTTCACGGCCATCTTTACCTACTATTTCCGCGCCGCCCAAACCCCAGAGCCCATGCAACTCCTGGGGCGACGCGGAGCGAACGCGGGTAAACGCATGCTGACGGCCACCTTTGGCATCAAACTGGCGGACGCGTGATGGTCCTATCCGCGTCGAGACGGGGGGGGGCATCCAGGTCGATATCAGCTACCGCGGCGCCGAGGGGCCGCCCCAATGATTGCGCGGCGGTGCGGTGCCCAGACGGCCGCCAGAACGCGCCCCAAGAAGCACGCGCGGCCTCCCAAGGGCACAACGCCTGCGGCGCCGTCCGCGCTCGCCCCAACGCCACATACCGCGTCGCGGGCATCGAGCCCCAGAGCGCCACGAGAACGCACATCGCAACTGTACCCACTTCCATCAAAGGGCACTGCGAGGGGCCGGCTGGAACTATCGTCTCACATGGTGGCGGAAGGGGCCCGCGGCGGGGTCACCGCCAGGTGGGCCAGGCGCCAGCGCCTCGCCATCGCTCCAGGACAGGGCGGCCACCAGGCCACGACTGCAAGTCCTGCTGGCACCACCGCGGAACCACCAGAAAGCGACAAGCCCCCCGAGCACCCCGCCGCCTAGCAAGAAACAGCGAGGCAAGAGTGCCAAGAGGACAAGCGGCGTTCTAGTTGTGCAGCCAGGCAAGCCACGAAACCTACAACTTGAGAGCCAACGACCAGCCCAGACCAGGCGCAACTGGCCGTGCGCGACGCAGAAGACTGCGACATGCTCGAGCAACGCGGAAAATAGGAGGGCACCAGCACCTCGCCAGCGTCGCCCAAAGGTTGATCCGATCCGTCTTGCTCCTGCTGGAACAGCTGAACGTCGACCCAAAGAAGATCCCAGAGGCGAGCGGCGGTCGGCCGTCGGCTCCCTCCCTTCTCCTTCCCTCCCTCCATCCTTTCCTCCCTTGCCCTTCCCTCCATCCCGCCCTCCCCTCCGCTTCCTCCTTCCCTTCTCCCTCCCGCTTCAGCTCCCCTTCGTTCCCCTCCCCCCCTCACCCTGCTCCTGCCTTCTTCTCTTTCTCTTGCTCAGGTTAGGCAGTTGAGGCCACTTACTACGACGGATATTCCCTCCCCTCTCTCTATCCCTCCACCACCTTCGCTGCCTGCCTTTCTTCCTCCCCTCCTCCATGTATCCATCCATTCTCCCGCTCCCTCACTCCTTTTTTCCCCTCCCTCCTCCCCCCCCAAGATAGCCAGAGAGAGCCCCAAGAGGGGCCCAAGAGGCCCCCTAAACGGTCCCAAGAGCGCCCAATAGCGACCCAAGAACGCCCCCAAATGGCCCCCAGAGACGGTTAAGATGGTTCTCAAGGGGGGGCTTAGATAATCCCCCCCCCCCCCCCTTGGCTTCCAAAGTGACCTCAAGAGGCCCTCCAGGACTCCCAAGAGGCCCCCAAGAGGGCCCCAAGACTCCCCAAGCGAGCCCCAAGGGGGCCCCAAGAGGGCCCCGAGAGAGCCCCGAGAGGACCCTGATGGGGGCCTCAAGACGACCAGCTTTCATCGGCAGCGTTGCTGAATGGGCTGGTGGTGATACGCGCAGTGTAACTAATACATATATATATATGTATACACACACATCCACATGAACATTTACAGAGGCACGCACACACATACATGTTGGCGGTGCGCCGTGGCACGAACCCCCCCCCCAGCACTACCGGGGGGTTTCGTGCACTACAAGGGGGTTTCGTGCAGCCCGCACTGGGTGCCGCCAGCGGCTTAGAACACCCCCCCTTTGCCGCTTTACCGGGGGGGTTCGTGCATGCCGCATTGGGTCCTCCCCTGTCGCTTTACAGGGAGGGGTTCGTGCAGGCCGCACTGCGTCTACCTGGGCCCCCCCCCCCTGTGGGAGTGGGGGGGTGGGAGTGGGGTGGGTTGGGGGGGGCAGGGGGGCGGTTGGGAAGGGTGGCTCCCTGTCGAAGTGTGGCGTGTGCTCGCCTTGTGTTCTCTATTCGCGTCTGCTCGCCTCTGTTCCGCCGCAGCCTCTCGTATTGTGGCTCGTGGCCACAATACGAGAGGCTGCGGCGCAACTCCCAAGAGCCGCTGTGGGGGGTCGACGGCACGGCCGCGTAGAGAAGAGCAGTGCCGCCGTGTTCTGGCACGGCCCTGGGATGCAATGCCGCCGCCGTGTTCTGGCCCGTCCTGGTAAGATTCGCGCGTCGGGGCTGGGGTTCGCGCGTGCCGGGAGCGCGCCGCTTACGGAGGGGTTGCGTCCTTACCGGGGGGGTTCGTGCAGCCTACCAGAGGAGGTCGTGTTTACCGGGGGGTTTCGCGCAGGCTCGCACCGGGAATGGCGCCAGTTCGAACCCCCCCAAGAGAGATTACCGGGGGGGGGGGTCGCTCCGCACCGGGCACCGCCGAAATACATACACATGTGTGTATCTATACATATATATATATATACAGATGCATACAAACATATCCGCTGGTCCCTTCCGGGGGCGCAAGGCTGCGAAGGTGTGTGCGGTCTGTTGTCATGTGTTATGTGTTGTCTCTTGTTGTTTGGCCTTTTGTCTCTCCAGTCCTGTTTCCTGTCTCCTGTTTACTTTACTGTCTGGTACGGGACCTCGCTGCGTCACCACACATCCAACGGGGGGGTGAACCTCAAATCCAAGCTGCTCCGGGTCGCCCCAGGATTCTCATGGCGACGCCACCGCGCGGCCAGAACGGCCCGAGAGGCCTAGAAGATTGGCCAGAGAGGCTCCGAAGAGAGTCTCAGGAGGCCAAGGCGGCCCACGATGGCCCCAAGATGTCCCACGAAGACGGCCCAAGATGGTCCCAAGAGGCCTCCGAGAGGCCTCCCAAGAGGGCCCCACGAAGCAAACATCAACGATTTTCCTGACGTTTTTGGATGTTTTTGGCCTTCTCGCCATTTCGGCTTTCGGACGCTCCGAAACGGACCAAGAGGTTCCCAAGATCGCCCCACGACGGCTCTAGAAGCTCCCATGACAGCCCAAGAGGCCCCCAAGACGGCCTCAAGACGGCCGAAGAGGGCCCCGAGACGGCCCAAGAGGCGCCCCAGACGGCCCAAAACGGCCCTAGGACGGTCCCGAAGGGCCCCAAGAAGGTCCCACGAAGCCCCCAAGAGGCCCCCGAGAGGCCCCAAGGAGGCCCGAAAGAGGACCCCAAGGTCCCAAGAGGCCCTAAGAAGGTCCCAAGAGGCCCTCCCTCTAGTCCTCCTTTGAATCCAACCGCCTGAGCAAGCACCCACGACGCTACCCGCGCAGCCGCCCGCACTAGTAATAGGAAGGCCAGCGGCAGGGGGCGAAACACTTGAGATATACATCTATCTTCATACATACCCACACGTACGTATGCACATGCAGAACCATTTGCGTGTATACATATGTACACACATTCATATACATTTATATGTATATATATACATATATGTATATATGTATGCATATATACAAATATGTATGAATACACACACACACACATATATATATATATATATATATATATATATAGGTGCACGTGTACACATGCATGCATGTACGTATGTATGCATACATTGATGTATGTGTGTTTGTATGTTTGTATGCTTGCATGTCTGTATGTATGTATGCCTGTGTGTTTGTATGTGTATGCATACATACCTGTATATCGATATCGATGTACATTGGTATTTATATATGTGGCCGATTCCATATACCCTGACACCCAAATCCTTGCCATCTCTTAGGGAGATCATATGTTATTTCCGCAGGCTTCCGCACGTCTTCCGCCAACGGAGCCCTGTACTCCCGCCAACTTCCGTCGCCCTTCCGCCAGCTTCCGCCGAGGAAGGGGTGCCAACTCCTTCGACTATCGAAGGCAAGGCCATTGCTGGAACGCCCAGCATATGTATGTATGCACATATGTATGTATGCATGGATAAGTCTATGTATGCATGCATGCATGTATGTGTGTATGTATGTCTGTATGTATGCATGCATAGACGTATGTATGCAATGCATGCATGTGTGAATGCATGTATATGTATGCATGTATGTGTATGTGTAGGTGCATGTGTTTGTGTATATATATATGTAGGTGTACATCAATATATAGGTGTAACGTGTGGAGGTGTACGTATATGTATAGATGTACGTGTATGTGAATGTGCACGTGTAGGTGTATGTGTATATGTATGTGTGTATGGTATAGGTATGAATGTCTGTATGTATGTATGTATGTATATATGTATGTATGTATGTATATGCATGTATGTATGTATGTATATACATGTATGCATGTATGTATGTATGTATGTGTGTATGTGTGTATGTGTGTGCTTGTGTTCCGATAGCCTGCCCAATCGGACCCCAGCCCTGGACAGCGCGACTGTTGCACGCCGTCGTGGACAAAACTTCATGGCCCAATCCTTTCAGTCAGCGCGGCCCGCTCCAGATGCGACAGTAATTGCCTTCCCACGGGGCTGTTGGAATGCACTTGGCGCGTTCCAGAAATCCTGACCCCCCCGAAAACTGACATCGCTGGGGGCGCATCTTTTACTTCCGCCGGCTTCCGCCGGCTTCCGCCCGCGTCTTGATTCCGCGAGCTTCTGCTGCCTTCTGACGAGGAAGACATGTCAACACCTTCTGGTCTTCGAGAAGGAGGCCCTTTCTGGAACGCCTCAAATCCATGTGCGCGTGCATTGTCTCATCCTCTAGCCTTAGGTCGGGCACGTCCTCCTACAGGCGGATTCTGGAACAAACATCAAACACATAGTCAAACATATTCCAAAAAGTCAAACATAGCAGAACAATGGTCCCCAGACTATCTTTTGACTATTCTTCAATATCCCTCCTGTAGAAGGACATGCCCGACTCAACCCTAGCCTTATATTCCCTCTTCTGGCGCCGGCCCTTCCCTCCGCTGGCGGCCCTGGCAACGAGAGTGGCCCTCTGAAGGGGAGACGGGGGGGGCATATCGAGGCATAGACGCGGTGGTGCTCGAGTTTGGAGTACCGAAACGGTGCGGTGACACACCGTGCGGTGACCTCGAGATCCCCCAAGACCTCACCGCACGGTCCGTCAACGCACGGTTTTGGGACCTCGGATGCCCCAGTCGCCCGAGACGTCCTCGGAGAACGACCCGAGTCCCGAAATCGTGCGGTGACCCCGAATCCCCACCGACTCATCACACGGCGTGGTCACCACCCCGTTTGAGGGCCCCCGATCGAGGAAGGTCGTGCTGATGAGTTCCGGAGCGGGATGTGGCGATGCCGAGGCATCACGTGACGTGGGCTGGGCTTGTGCATTCGGCCAGCCATGGAGCCAGCATCAAGTCGGGCATGACCCTCTACAGGGGGATTCTGGTCGAAAAATCCGCCGGCCCCCTTGTGGGGCCACCAGGCTGTAGGCCGAAGGTTCGCAGTTTCCTGTGCCAGTTGCAGCTTCCAGTTTCGGCCACCAGGCTGTAGGCCGAAGGTTCGCAGTTTCCTGTGCCAGTTGCAGCTTCCAGTTTCCACTGGTACAGTTCTGCTTCTTGCTGCTTACTGTTCCTTGTTGATGGACCGCGCGAGGGGGGGAGGCCCAAAACGGGCATTTTTACCACGCCCTGAGCGTGTTGTCTGAATTGCTGGGGTGGATAAAAATTGACACCCCTCATGCAGATCGGCGGGCTCAGGGTCCAAAAACGTAAGGGATTTGCCACATTTCTGAAATTCGTTGGCACCCCTCACGCAGGGGGTCAGGGTCAAAAACATATGGGATTTGCAACATTTCTAAAATTCGGCGGCACCCCTCACGCAGATCGGCGGGGTCAGGGTCCAAAAACGTAAGGGATTTGCCACATTTCTGAAATTCGTTGGCACCCCTCGCGCAGATCGGCGGGGTCAGGGTCCGATTTGCAACATTTTTGAAATTCGGTGGCACCCCTCACGCAGATCGACAGGGTCAGGGTCCGAAAACATAGGGGATTTGAAACATTTCTAAAATTCGGCGGCACCCCTCACGCAGATCGGCGGGGTCAGGGTCCCAAAACGTAAGGGATTTGCCACATTTCTGAAATTCGTTGGCACCCCTCGCGCAGATCCGTAGGGTGATGGGTCGAAAAACAAACAGGTCCCGACACTGCTTCACGGCGGCGCCCAGACCTCATGATTTAGCTTTTGCATCTCCCATTATCCGAGACAGGGGGCCGGCGGCATGGGGCGAAGCCCTTACGGATAACAAATACCCCAAACACACTTCAAAATGGTCACGCATAGTCAAACATATATCCCGTACGTTTTTTGTTGTTGTTGTTGTTTGGTTTGTGTGTGTGAGTGTGTTTTTGTTGTGGTTGTTGTTTTTGCTATATGTAAACGATGTTTCAATCTTCCTCCTGTAGAGGGACACGCCCGACTTAAAGCTAGCATCTGATATCGCATACTACGGTGAGACGCTTCCAAGAAACTTAGAGCCAGAACTGGCCTGAGTTTCTAGACCTTGGATCCAAGTGCTCTGATCACGTTCGACGAAATTATTTGATATTGAACCCACGTGCGTGACGTGGCATACCAAGCAACCTGAAATAGTGGCGTCAGAAAGGGACACTGGTCAACGTCATGATTATGGGTGCACAGGTTCGCATCCGTAGATATACGCTTGTATGTGATCCACCCATACATGATCACACGTATGCCTCTTTCGCATCCCTTCGCCATCTTTCCTCCTCCTCCTCCTCCTCCTCCTCATCCTTCATCCCCTCCCTAAAGAAGGCTGTCAATTGACAGCGGTCATGAATTCGTGTGCGTGGAAAAAATTGGCGCACACAAGAAACCATAGTTTCCAAATGTGCAAGTGGAAAGCGTGGTGTGACTAATGCATTTTCCGAATGGCTACACATCTGGATGCCATTATATGCGCTTCTTGCCCGTGCACGGTTGTTCTCAAAACTTCTGCAAGATTACCGGGGGCCGGGAAGGGCCCTGCAGGGAGCCCGCACGCGGCGGAAAACCTTCGGGAACGCCTTCATCTGAGGCCCCTTCTCCTGAAGGCGCCCTCCCCCTCCTCCTTCCAGCACGTCCGACGATGTTTTTTTTGTGGACGCGTGGCCCCAGAGGTCCTGACCCTTTGCCAGGGCGTTGTTTTTCGTCCCGGGTGCATCGTTGATGGTCCCAGGACCCGGAGGAGGAGGAGGAGGAGGAGGAGGAGGAGGAGGAGGAGGAGGAGGAGGAGGAGGAGGAGCAGGAGGAGGATGAGGCGGAGGAGGGGCCACCGTCGGTGCAGAACGCTGGCATTGAAGAAACCATACCGTCGGACGTCGCGGCCCTCTTCGCGGCGGCCCTCTCCCGCCCGCCCCTCCGCTCCCTTCCGCGGGTGCCTCAATGGGCACCCGCTGGCGCCAGCAGCTCGCGACGACCGCCCGGAAGCCGCGGTACCGGGTGCCCGGGTCGACGCGCCACTCCTGGACTCCCTGCTGGATCCCCCCTGATCATCGACCCCCCTCGATCCGCACCAATCCTCCTCCTGATAAGTTCTGCTCTCGACGCCGACATCTTGATGAATGCGGTTTTTGGGGGTTCGTGGGGATTGTTGTGATTATGATGCGTTTTCGCGCAATGGCACAATGGGCCCCTAGAGGTCAAACGGCAGCGAGTGGTGCATATACACACGTGACACACGCACTATCTCGCACCCGTGAAACTTTATTACGAGCTAGCAGGCAGACCGCGCAGTACCGCTGGTCTCAGTAAGCCTATAGGGCAGAAAAAAAGAATTCCAATGTTGGGATTACTCAAGTCGAAGGCGGCCAGGAATCAGTCACTCACTTCCCCGATGGGATCGCATTCATCCTGGCCCTCGCCAGTTGCTTCTTGACCTTCTTTAAGATAGATTCAGGGTCTGGAATTACGTCATACGAGCTTGTACGTAAAACCATGACAAAGAAGTGTGTAGGCATATTCTTCGTCAGACAATCAACAGCCATAATACTTGTATCGACCCATGGGATCTTATCACAACATACGCGTGGATGTAAAAACCCTACTTGTTCCATTCCATTCGTCCAAACTTCCTGTCTTAACTACCCAAATCGATACTCAAGCGCTCATCTTCTGTCTTACCCATAGTTGGTGCTATGAGATGTTCCTCAAGGCTTTTGCAATCCGTCATCCATACGTGTCTCACAGACATGGCTGATGTGTCTTCCCAGTTGGTTGGCAGCTTCCTTCCTGCGCTAAGCATCCCACGCGCATATGCGATGGCGGCGCGAATGCGCACGCCAGATTCTACGCCCCATAAACGAGCCAGGGTCTCTGCTTGTAGTGTAGAAGTACATACTCGTTGCATAACTTTACTAGATATACATATAGGGTGAGCATGAACACTGTTCCCCTCGATGAATGCAGGCCCTGCGAGTCCATTGAACTAAGCACTCCGTGACCTGAGAGGCTCGACTCTACCCTTGACTATGTCCTCGTTTCCTGCCCAGCTGGCGTCAGTAACGATGAAAACTATCATAACATGATTCCCCTTAACAGCTCCACCTGTGAATACGAACCCGCGGTCGGCGGACTGAGTTGCTTCTTCTGGTGCACGGTTGGCTTCTCTGAGATGAAGTACCTTGGCGTGACACACTGCAGTCTGCAGTCTGCTCGCACGATACAATAGCTCATGCTTGCGCTGACGTGACCCATGACAAAGCACCTACGACCGATCTACGCTGTGCTGTCTCGCCCTGGTTGCATTTTCTCGTGACGGGGGCTCCTTAGGATAGGATGCAGCCTCAATCTTCTCTATTGTCGTTGGCCGCGATACTCACCGTGAAATCGTCATCATGAACAACTTCTAAACCGCAATAACGGAAATAGGAAATTATCCGGCTTGATCTCGCGAGTATCAAATTCTGTCAATGCCGACTCGATGGCTCTCTGACTTTCATCATCTGCAGCCCACAGTATGTCATCCACGTGTGTACCTAACATACACTTGATCTCGTTCTTGTCATTGTGAATACTGAACAAAGCAGGCATGACATATTCTCCTTCAGACCATGAGCTTCAAACCCTCTGCACATTTTCTTCCACAAAACCTCGTCCTGCGTCGCGCGTGCCATAGACAAACGTGCGCGCGATCGGAGCCCCACCAACCGGTGCTCCTTCGAGTCCGTCGGGCGGTGGCTTGAGCAGCATGAGGCGGTCGGCTTCCTGCCCCTGGAAGTACGCAGATGTAATGTCGGCACATTTGAGAGTGTCTTCTTTGTACCGGCAGCCCATGATGCGATCAACCTTAGCCGTTCGAGTTCGCATGTTGGTGAATCCGCGCAGATATCAGCGACTCTTCCAGATCTCCACGTACGACAAGTCTACTCTTGTACTGCGGTGCAACCGGAGGTCCACCTGGTCTACGGAGATACTCATACTTGTCAATCAATGCATTGCGTAGGTACCATACGGTATCCTTCGCCGAAGAGAATTTGCAGTTCCACGGAATCAATAAGTACGGCGGCGTTGAAAATCCATCATTTTCCCTATTTGTCTTGTCTTGCCAGTCGCAAGCCGCTTTTAACGTCCTCACATCCCGATGGTATACCAGATTCGTTGCACTCTTTAGCTTCTCCTAGATTGCGGCTTATGAACGGTGCGTTCATTGAAGAATCCGACGAGCGATTCATGTGGCTTAACAGCGAGTGAAGCTTCTCTACGAGCTAGAAGATCCATGCCCAGCCCTGATGTTCCGGCCCTGCGCATGGCCTCAAGAAGTGGGTTCGCTGGTTCGAGAGCTGGCTCCGAGACAGAATCGAAAACCCTTCCCGCACTACCATCGGCATTCTCGACATTTCCTCGCATCACTTCGTAACGACTCTGCATGCCGTGCGGAACGTCGTCTAGTAGCGACCTCTGAAGGGGCCTTCGAGGCACCTGTGACGACCTCGACGCGGGCGGCCCAGGAACGATCATTCCATCTGACAGTTCATCTTCTTCCATTTGGCAAAATGCTTCCTCTATGAACTCGGGGTCTTCTGGGATCCCCAGCGGCTCTTCCGTCGCCATAGGATGTTCTTGCGCAGAATGCTTTTTGCGCCCGTGGTTCTGGCGGTTCGCGTCGCTCGTCCACGAATGACTGCTGTTGCCCGTCTGGAGGTGCATGCCTCTCAACACCACCGTCACGGTGCTTAGAGAGACATTGGTAAGCCAACGCTTCCACAACTGTACACGGTCGAAGCCTGTCGACAGCCACGCAGACAGGTACACCCTCTTCGATAACTCATGCGTTCCTGCCATCGAATCCAACGATGCGAGAGCCAGCGCTCCACTTAGCGGTATCCTCGCCGTCGGTTGGCCTCTTGCGAAAGCAGACTACTTGATATTATCCAGCTAGTGGCGTTGCCTTTCGGAGAGCGGCCATTGCCATCCCACTCCCGACGTCGTGTTCTGCGAATGCTTTTCTGGCAAGCGCCAAGATCGCAGCCTGGCGAGAAATTTCGTCGGCTCCGTCCTCTGCCACATTCGCAAGCATACCTGAGTCGAACACTTCCTCGTCGTCGAATTGACTCCCCGGGGCATGAGGCATCTTTCCGAGTGACCATTGAGCAGGCGCAAACCCGCCAAACTCGTGAAATCTCATTTTTCGTGTCTTCGACCTCTGATTCAATAGGGATGGCTGCATCGAGTCGGTAAACATTCTTGTCGTGTACCACCTTCTTGAGCATGTTCTTCCAAAGTCCACCATGTTTCTCGGTGCGGCCTATCTGCTCGGGAGACTCGACTCCGGCGTCGCGGAGGTCGATCCCTTGACTCTTAATCCATTGCAGAAACACTCCTCTGTTGTGCAGTCCGCGGTCCAATACCATTATTTTGGGCTTTCCTGCCCACGCGCGCCAGTGTTGCTGGAGTGCAGTGAGGCATGCTCTCGAAGATGGCGTACCACCTCCCTGCTTGACAAAGACCACGCGCTGAAATGTTGCACCCTGGCACACTATGTTCAAGAAGGCGTAGCGTTCTCCAGTGTTGTCCTTCACCTCTAGACAGCCGATGCCGATTCCATGGGTGAAGCAGAACTTCTTGGGTAAGGCAACCTCGTGAGTCTGAGCTGGCGGTTTGTGATGTTCGCAAGATTCACATCGATATTTCTTGGCGGCTTCAATGTAGTCCGATGACATCCTAGAGATTCTCAACCGCTGTACGAGAACACGATTATAGGCAGATGACCAAACTGTTGGTGCAGTCGTCTAATGGCGATCCTTCTGCGGAGCGGGATCTGCAACCACGCTATCCTTCTCTTTCCTTCGTGTTTCGGCTCGCCAGGTAGGTTGATTTGTTCCAGGATATATTCCTCCTCGTCCCACATGCGTTCCTGCTAGACTGTAGCGACGTCGTCATCACCGATGGTCGAGCCCATATCGTCTCGAACTCCCTCCTCTGCGGGTTCAGCGGGGAAAGCTGTAAGTGCAAGTCTATCCAGTCTAGCTGTCTGACATAACTCTCTGAGGGACCCGAGGAATTCCTGACTCGTGATGTCCGCGTCTGACTCGAGGTCTGAGTTCAGCGCACTAGTAACCTCGAGGCTTGAGCAACCAGGCTCAGAACCAAGCGTAACAGTTACAGGACCATTATCTTGAGCCAAACCAGAGAAAACATCACTCATCACATGATGATTTGATGAGAAGGTGTAGGCGACAAGGAGATCAGGATTGCGCTCGACGATGTCCTTTGCCACCGAAGGCTCCCAATCTGGGCGCGCCACCGTGTCGCTCGAGCCTGGGCAGGCGAATGATGCCGATGACATAGAGCAGCACTCCGGCCAAGTTGGTCCCCACTCGTCCGCGAAGCGGATCGGTGTTCCTGATCACCTCCACGACGATCTCCATGTCGGTAGCAGACATGCCCGACGCGGACAGCTCGGCAACACACGCAGATAACAACTCATCTTGCATACTGATGTTGCGCAATCGAGCATTCATGGTAGTCATCTCATGCTGGTCCAGCTTCGGTGGCGCGCGCAAGCTCGATGTTCCGTCAACGCGGATCCCCGGAGGCTGCGCAAAAATCGCTACTCGATCGAACTCCTCAAGTTCCACGGGGGAACTCATGGCAACGCGATCTTCTATGCGCTTCCAGGACTGGGTGTCCTTGGAGCGACCCGTAGAACTCTTCTTCCCAGAAGACCATGCCGGCGGGGACTTGATGTGAATGTTGCGCGGATCAATTTGGCAGTTCACACGCACCAATTTCCCAATGTCCTGCTCTCCCGCGCGGCCCTTCGACCCCTCTGATGGGAACGATCGAGGATCAACGTACGCGATGAAGTTTCTCTTCTTGCGGTGCTCGACCATCGAACCCAGCTGAGCTGCGCCAGCTGCAATCGGCTCGAAGTCCACGACTGGATCTCCGGCCCGCTCACCACCCACCGTGGCCAGGTCCCTCTCGACAGGAGAAGTCGGGGATCCTGAACGAGACCCACGAG